AAAAGATTATCATGTTTAATAAATAAAATTCGCTTTTTATAGTCGACTATAGTAATTGTCTAACAGATTATTATGTTGCATGATTCGAGTTTTGTTATTTGTATAATATTATTGAATTCCTATGTTAATACATAATTTTTTCCATGTGAATATTCTAGGAAAGCTTTTTTGATAGATGTCATTCCTTTTTATCTTTCTAACAGCCCCTGCTAAAAAATCTTCATCTGAACAAAATTTTGAAAGCATTTTGTTTTAACTTTAATATTAAAAAAATGAATCTGGCAGTCGGATCTTGGGCCATTTCATGCCAAATCATCCAGAAAAAGTTCAATTTGTAACCCACTCCCCTCAGATCTTAATGAAAATTTGCAAATATACATATAAGTAAAAACACCAAATTATACCCAATTATAACAACTAGCTCATTATTAAGGGCATTTAAATTGTTTAAATATTTTAAGTTGGGAAGACATTTTGAGCTAAAAACCGGCGTATACTTGTTATGCTTTTCTTTGTAAAACAAAAATTTATAGATCAAGAGTTTTCAAAATTTATTCATTTGTCATAAATTAATACTGAATCTTCTGCTAGTTTTAGAATTAGAATTCTTCTTCACGTAAAAAAAAATTCTTGAACATAAATTTTCAAAGATGTGATAAAAATATAGAAAAGTACCTGTAGCTAAAATATCTCTCCAAATACCCCATATATTAATGAAAACAGTATAAAATTCTCTACCAAATTCAAAAATAATATTAGTGGGCTTTTAAGTTTGAAGAGTTTTATTACAATTTAAACCGAATACAGTAAATTTGAATTTACCAGCTACAAATGAAAGTAAGAAATGCTACAATCTCTCTCCAAATATCCTAAAATAACCATATATCACTGAAAAAACATGGAATTTTCTATCAGATTATGTAATAATGTTTATGAAATTTTGATCAAATATTTTTTTGCCTGATGCGTAAATGGTGTGCTAATCGATATCGAAAAATATCATTATAGCTAAAGTCTCTCTCCGAATTCTCCAATACAACTATAAATTAATGAAAACAGCATGAAATTCTCTATCAAATTAGTGGGATTTTGAGTTTGAAGTGTTATATTACAATATAAACTTGATACATTAATTAAAATTTAATTTATTACTTGTATCTACAAGTGAAAATTGCCATAATATCTCTCCGAATAAAACCATATATTACTTGAAACTGCATACAATAATCATCTAAATGATACAATAATATTGAATGGAGCTATTGAGTTTAATGAAATTTATTATAATATAAAAAAAAAATCTGTGTGTTGCGGTGTTCATATGGTCAACAAAATAATGTTTTTGTTTATTAAATTATACATTGAGAAAGTACTTCAGTGCATTGATATAAATCACAATATATTGAAAAAAAAAATATAAGATTTACATAAGATTTAATTTCTAAAGTAGCTATACAATAGTTTAAATAAAAGTAAAATAGTCCATTTAAAACTTAATTACTTTTTAAAGTTGTTTTAAGCTTTGTTAATATCTCTCCGAGAACCTGAGCCAATTTTGTAGAGCCAAAAAATTCAAAATATACCTTAGCAGGTCTTATTAAACAAAGAAGAAAAACTGGTGGTACAGATCATTTGTCTTCTTTTTGAGGCCAAAAATAATTTCAGTTGGACCAGAGAGATGCCTAACTAGGATGTCATAATCACCTTCTTCTTCATCTATATCTAGGACTATTCCAATCCACCAGTTGTTTTCGTAAACATAGGCCACAAAAGAATTGAGATTTGGTTCGAAATCTAGTGCTTTATGAAACATGTTTTTTCTTAAACAAATATCAGAGACTGAGCTCACTTTTTTCTTCTTCTCCACTCAAAAAGAAAAAAATTATTGTTGAAAAAAGATTTTTACAGTAATCCTACATTTGTCGTGAATTCACGATATGTTCATTAATATAATATAATGTCTAGTATTCACTTCTACACGCCATACATTTTAAGGTTTTGATAAAATAATAAACTGTTAGAGTATACACTAAAAGTACTCTTTAATCATCCTAAAACACTATTTTTTTAAATTTATATTATAATCAATCTCATTAAACTCAATAGCTCATCCCAATGTTATGTTATCATTTGAAAGGGTATTTTATGTTGTGTCAACTAATACATGGTTGTATTCGGAGAGAGATTATAGCAATTTTCACTTGTATATATAACTGATAAATTAAATTTTAATAAATTTATTAGGCTTATATTGTAATATAATATTTCAAATTCAAAATCGCACTAATATTATTTTTTCATTTGATAGAGAATTTCATTAATATATAGTTGTATTGGAGTATTCGGAGAGAGATTTTAGCTATAATGATATTTTTCGATATCGATTAGTACACCATTTACGCATCAGGCAAAAAATTATTTGATCAAAATCTCATAAACATTATTACATAATCTGATAGAAAATTCCTTGTTTTTTTCAGTGATATATGGTTATTTTAGGATATTTGGAGAGAGATTGTAGCATTTCTTACTTTCATTTGTAGCTGGTAAATTCAAATTTACTGTATTCGGTTTAAATTGTAATAAAACTCTTCAAACTAAAAGCCCACTAATATTATTTTTGAATTTGGTAGAGAATTTTATACTGTTTTCATTAATATATGGGGTATTTGGAGAGATATTTTAGCTACAGGTACTTTTCTATATTTTTATCACATCTTTGAAAATTTATGTTCAAGAATTTTTTTATACATGAAGAAGAATTATAATTCTGAAATTTATGGTATCAGCAGATTCAGTATTAAATTTATGACAAATGAATACATTTTGAATGCTCTTGATCTATAAATTTTTGTTTTACGAAGAAAAGCATAACAGGAACATGATGGTTTTTAGCTTAAAATGTCTTCCCAACTTAAAATATAAAAATGCCTAAAATTCTGAAACTATTCAGAAAATTAAAATTGGTTATAGTTTGGTATTTTTATTTACATGTATATTTATAAATTTCCATTAAGATCTGAGGAGAGTGGGTTACACAAAAGAATTATAAAAGAAATTTATGGGAAAAGTTTTTATTTTTTTTAACTTGTATATATATATGGACTTAGACATGTAAAAAACAAAATGTCTAGCACTGGCCACCAAGGAAAATCTTTTTACAGCAAAAAAAAAATGGATTTTTTCGATCATTTTTTGTTTCTTCACCTATAACTCCTAAACAGTGCATCAAAACGAATAATCTACTCTTTAAGAAATTAAATTGTGCGTCAAACGAGTACTTCAACTTCATAACTTGGTTAAGTTAAGTGGTATAACCATGGCCAACAATCGCTAATTTTTACCAAATTCGTCAAAAACTGAGACAAATTACTATTAATGGTCTAGCAGCTTAGAAATGAGTTTTTTAAAAGAAAAAACTCATAGAATAAAAGTTGTATCAAATTCCTCGTTCACTGAGTATCAACAATTTTAATGTAGGTCAATTATCCATCACAAATTGGGATTCATTATTTTTTCATTAAATTTGGTTTCTTTTGATACCTTGTTTCTCAAAATCGTTCGCTGTTGAGAGGTGGAAAAAGTCTTGGCTGTAAGGCTCTTAACAAGAAGAACTCAGTAGAATAGATACCTGTAGTGTTAAAATATTTAAAATCACAGATATCTTCATTACCAATTTCCAGCCATCGCTATTCACTACCAATTTCGAGCGGAGTAAGTGACTATATTAAAACTGTTGGTCCCATATACTGCTGCAAGACCTGAACTCTGACCAGCACCCTAGAAAGAAGTATTGGAAATTTTGAGTTAAAATTCCTGCTTGGAGGAAAAAGACCAACTAAGAAATCCGTACAGAAACAGTCAATATCACATTATATGAAGACAAGGAGTTTAAGAGGGTATGTAGCTCGGAGCGATCCATCTGGACGCTTCTACACAACAATGAATGCCTTAATAGAAGACAAAAGTCTAGATGGAAGGCCAATTAATACATAGATAGATAGGGTCAACAAAGATGTATAAAGATAACTTGAAAGAAATGGTAGAGATGGAAAAGGCAGCAAAAGATTTACATGGTCTGTAGTACCAACAGAAAAGAAAAAAATCTCATAGTTTTATTTATACTGAAAAAAATTTATACAAAAATATGGAAGGGCTAAACCGATGGGGATTCGCTCCTTAAATACAAAAACAAGCTAGAAATCTACAACAAAAATAAATTTGGAATACTGAAAATTATCCATAGAGAAACTAGGATCCGCACTGAATTAGAATTAATCAAAAGAAAATTAAGCTGAAAAATTCCTAAAAGATTTATAAATCAGAGGCAAGGAACAGTAGCATTATAAATCATACTAATATTTTATTTATTTTTTAATAAATAAGATAATAAAAGTAGAAGATTCATCAAATCAATGTGCATGACCTCAAATATTTAAATAAGTCATGAATTTTAAACAGATGTGAGAGATACTTTTCAAAATTATGCTGACATAATCAATAAAATAAACATTTAATCATTAAAACAGAGTGAGCTAAAAACAAAATTTCCATGTAAAATTAGTTAAATATTTTTGAAGGACAAGCGGACAGTGTAGGTTAAGATGAAGTGGTAATAAACATACTATTGTACTTAGGTAATGATATATTGAATTTTTAAATACTGAAGTATTGTTTTTTTTTATTATAACTATACAAAACTTATTTAATATAAGGTTAATATATATGTTTGGGACCTTCTATTCCTTTATATTTGAGAATAACAATGTTACTCCAATACCAATATCTTCATTCATTCAACTATAATTAATATAATGAAAGAAGAGGACCAGAATCAAACTAATATTGTTCAATAAAAATCAAAGCACCGACCACTTATATGACCAACACTTGAAAAAGAAACTTTTTAAAATCAACATCTTCAATTTTTCAACCTTTATTTATTGAGGAGACATCTAAAAATATATATACTAGTTATATTATGGTGATAATTTACATACCATAGTTATCTTGAAAAAACCTTTGATTTTTGATGTCCAAAAGAGTTCATAATTTAAAAATATATAAAAGAAATTTTCCCCACTACATTTTATTTTGAATTTCAAAAGTTCATATGTTCATTATAATCACTTTAGATTAAAAAATATATATAATTTTACCAGGTGAAATAATTTTAGAAATTTTTTTCTTAACATAATAATTTACACTTTTAGTACTTATATAATGAATGCTCTTAGTTTGGTACTCAAAAGAAAGAAGACACATCATGCAAAATATAGGTATTGAATAAAAAAAACTTTACTTCAGTTGAAAAATGTAAATGTCATTTAAAAACTCAACACAAGACAACAATCAAATATATGCTTTAATTTTCAAACTGTTAAAGAAGTAATTCTAAAGAAAACGTGAACTTTTATCAAACCTTTAGTAGAATTGTGATTGAAATATAACCAGCTGTGATAAAGTTGCAGGCTATAATTTTTATATTTCCAACAATAGTTTTAATTTATATTGAGATAGATTATTTATTTAAACATAAGTCTCTTGCTGTTCATAATCAAATTCTTAAAAGTTATGTGATCTTTGTCGAGCTTGTAAATTGGCCCTCCAATTGGAAAATTTTATATTGTTAAATATTTGTTTTATAATGTCTACTTGAACTTTTATATAGTTCGTAACACAAAAATTATTTGACTTATGGCAAAAGCTATAGTCTATAATAAAAAATATATAAATCACACTAAATGCACCAAGTGAATAGAGAAACATTTTTCATCACTTAAGTTAATTAATTAATCTCATTTATGTATTTCTCAACGAATTAATGACAAAAATCTAATCGTTTAGTTATAAGTTGTTAAATCGTGATGATCTTATGAAAAACATGCTTTTATACGTAAACTGGAATCTTGCAGTATTATGAAGTTCTTTGTAGTTTCCTTTTTTTGATGTATTTTGTAACTCAAATCATCAACATGAATAACTAATCTCTTTTTCATTGTTAAATATTGTTTAATTTTGAAATACAATTTAAAATAATGGATTTGTAATAAAAAAAATATTAAAAACAAAATCCAATCATATTTTACATTTTTATTGCAAAAAGTCATTAAGTAACTTTCATAAAATTAAATAACAAAGTACTTTGATGAATTTTCTCTTTGCGAAATCATACATTGTTCACTTAAGTGTGATTATTTTTTATGTATAAAAGGGTTTCTGTCATTTTGAGGCACTTACTTTGTTTTGGTATCAATATTTAAGATTTAAATTTATAAAATTGTACTCAAAAATTTAACTTAATCAAAAATGGATTTAACGGGCTGAATTATGGTCATCACAATAAAAAAAAAAAAGAAATATTTTTTATTTAACCTAAAAATAAAATTTTGCTTGAAATTTTCTGTTTTCTAAATTCTGATACCTGGTAAAAATGCCTTTTTATGTCCCTTTTTCTGACTTTGGTCAAGAATTTGATTAATTACATCTTTGGTCGAAACTATTACTCTTAGATATCTTATTATGGTACAGTAACTGCATTTGAAAGTGGACCTCTGGAATAAGTGGGCTTCAAATAAAATGTACTTCTAGATTATATTGTTTATTCTTCCAGGTGAACGAATTCATATTTAATTTGATTGTGCGCTTATTATATTTCTTAAATATAATAATAGCTAATTGCAGTGCTCAATTTCGTTATGTCAAGAAGACACAAAAAGTATTCGAATCATAAATAAATTATTATCTTAATTAAAGAATAGAGTCCCTAATTGTAGCTGAATTAAGTAATTATAAAATTTGGAAGCCTATTTGTGTCCTTGAAACCAAACAGATGGAATTATGGGCAAACATAGAAGTCTAGTGTTATGATAATTATTATGATATTATGTTTGTGTTTGATTTTTTACCTAATCCTGCATTACCTACTATTTTAACAAGCCATTATTTTGAATGTAAACAATGTATTATTCAACTGGTTATAATATAATAAGTGTATATATTTGGGAACAAGTCTTTATTGATTGAACAGGCCAATGCTTTGGCTTGGGATACTGAAGTTAAATTTCATAGACCTGCTACATCACCTTTTGGAATGGTACAGTGTTTAATAATTAGAAATATATTATCTACAAACGACCTTTTACATTATACTCAGTTAGGGATGAGCCAACTAAAAATGTTAAACATTCGTTGGCAAATTATTAATATTTTTCACAAGTTAATGGGGAATGAGAATTGAAAGTCACACTCGACTAGAGACAGAAAGATTATTCTTAAATTTTTCAGTGGAATCCTGTTTCAATGGGAAGTGCAAACTTATCTTAATGAAAAGTCACATTTTCCAACTTTTTTACCTGTGGCACTGTTAATGAACTAAGCCCAAAAGAGAATATGTGCTGTTTAATTATAATCCCTAAAAGGTAAATGAAATTAACAACACTTGCAGAATAACTTTTTTACCAGTGACATTAAACCAACAATCCCTCTAGATATCAATCACTGGTTAAAAAATCATTCTTCAAACATCTTAAAAAATATTTATATCAAGCACATAAATATAGTATGCATTGTTATTAAGTTGGTTGGTGTATGTCGTTCTATATTTTTATCTGCAATGAATTCCTTATAAGGACAAAAGAAGCAAAGACATTGGTATCGTTACAGACATAATTTGGAATTAATGAAGGAATATATGATCAAGATCTCCTGTTTATTTATCTCTTCTGAGATACATTATAAACCCCATACTCCATCGCAAGTTCAAGTTTCCAATATGCTTTTTCTACCACCAGAATTTTTAAATATTCATATTAACAATTTGAAAGTTTTATCAGATTCATCACATTGTTTCATAGTAATTAATAAAGATAGCACTATGGCTTCTAATTTATTTATGTATTAATATAACAAAAAAATTGATATAGTAGAAATTATTTTAAGGGTACCTGTTCCATTTATAGTTTTTTTTTTTTTTTCTCCCTTCCTTAATTTACAGTCAATAAACATTGTGACAGCAGTAGAGTAATATGAGACGGTACGCTATATAACTGGTAACAGTAAAATTATTTTCTCATTATATGATTTTTTATCAAAAACTTCAAAAGATATTATAATTTGAGGGACAATAAAGTGGGAAATTAGATGGTAGACCTTTGAACAGTGTTGACTTGCGCCCACTTGTAAGAAATAAAAAAATGTTATAAAAAGGTATTAAAATAATTTCAGCCTGTCAGTAAGGCAACTGTTCTAGAAAAATGTTGAATGCTATACAATTCAAATATTAATACATAATATCACAGGCGGATCTACGGGGGGCTTTTGGGCTGAAGCCCCCCCCCCCCCAAAAATGGTAAAATATAACCATGTTTTATAGAAAAAAATATGATAAACTATCTCTTAAAGTATTCTTGTTCGTGTAATTACATTTAATAGGACTTCAAGAACCAGTTAAACACCGTTTCAAATAGGTAGTTAATTTCTTTCTTTTTTAAAAAATTAATTGTCGTTACACGTATTTAAAAAAAAAATCTTTCGGGCTGAAGCCCCCCAAAATTAAATCCTGGATCTGCTAGTGCATAATATAAAACAGTTTAAGAAATGAGGGGCGCCGATTGCCTAAGGCCAGCACTGGCGATTTATAATACTTGTAAAAAACTATAAAAATGTTTATTTATATATTCATTTATATATTATTAGTTATATGTTAAGAATATCAAAGAATGTTAACATAAATCATTTATTTTTTAGATCGTAAGTGTAAATTAACATTTTTTTTGTTTATATAGCTAAATAAAGTATATTTTTTGAATTTGTTTTTTAAATTGTAAGCTCATATATTTACGCACATAGGATGAACAAAGTTATAAAAACCACCAAGTAAAATTTGAAATAATTTTGAGCCTATATTGGGGACATCACGTAAATTCTGTCTGTGAGCGCTTTGTCTGATAACCTAATCGGACATAAAATAATTAAATAAAAATCGTAAGTAAAAGATTCTTTTAAATTTGCAAACAATCTAAGCCCTTTTAAATAAGTTTAAAATGCATTAAAAACAATTATCATGTGTTACAAATGTATAAAAATGAATTTTAAAAAATTTATATAATTAATTACATATACAAATTTTTTCTTTGAAATGTAGGAAGAGAAATTTGAAAAATTAAGTAAACCACCGACATAATGGACAAATGGCCAAGAACCCTTCCAAATTTATTGCCAATTCATTATTGGCCCTTACCTCTACTTTGGGATTGAAAACTACATCGCGAGCACTTAAATATGCGCGGGCTGCCTTTAAGTTATATTTTTTAACAAGTACAGTTGGCGCACTTGCGTCAGTAATAGATTCTTCTACACTGCAGGATTTAGATGAGGTAATTTTTTTACAAATATTCAATTAATGATATAAATAATTGCTAGTTAGGATTTATCATTATCTTCAGTTAAGAACACACTCTATTTTAAAGTTTTCTAATCTTCCATTAGCATTTACATTTAAAGATTAAAATCCAATCAAAATCAGGTAAAGCTTTTACTGTAGTATCTCCAACATGGAGATGATCTATGAACTGACTTTATTAAAATATCTCAGGTAACTAACTATAAAATTAAATATATATTCTATAAAATATTACAGATGACTGTTCATCACAATGTAACTAAATGAATGCTATTTCACATTTATTCCATAGTTTTATAGATTAATCCCTCACACAACATATACAACAGCTGTTTCATGCCATATTTAAATGGGACAAGGGTGTAACCAGGAGCAAAGAAGAGCATGTTCTTAAACTGAGCTCTGAATTGATTGATGGTATTATTTATACCTGTTTAGAAATGGATCCGATGTCATCGATGAGCTCAGAGATTAGTTAACAAATTCACCCAATTTAAAAGAGGGAAATTAATTTATGTGCAGAAGCATTTTTTAATTAGTTTTATTACTAATTTTAAAGTAGTAATATTGTTAAGTTAAGATTTGTTAACTGTAATGAATATCTTTTTTAAAAAAAGTATATATTTTGTTTAATCAAAGCGATATTTATAATAATAAAATTAACACCTTTCTTAATTATATATGAAATTGAGTTCACGTCTGATATCGATTGTTGATAAAAATGAATAAATAAATAAAATCTTATTGATTTTTTTGCTTCTAGTTTCATTCAAAATGATGAAATACTATTTATATTCATTATTACATATTATAGGGAGTGGGGTAATTCACTGATAAAGCACTGACTTTCAAAACTCAAGGTCCGGGATTCAAATCTAGGCGATGGCTGATAATTATTTATTCTGTTTCATCAGCAGTTGTTCAATTTTTGGATCGG